CATGCGGGGGCGGGGCGGGGAAACCCGAACCCCGCCGGGGGCTGGGATGGGGACCTAGATTTTACTCCCGGCGGGTATCGGGGGCGGGAGCGGGGGTGGTTTAATTTTGCGAGGGTCATGCCTACCTGTACCCGATTTAATATACCAGGTTTTACCCGAATCCGTACCCAGTCAAACTACGTATTCTCCATCAAAATCAGGACAGGTTCACATATTATCTATGAATACGGATATATTTGTCATCCTGAGTTAACTTAGACATATCTATTTTTCTTTTTTATAACTAACAGGTAGACCTATCTTTCACCATATCGATGATAAAATAGTACTTACTTCATCCTAAAATTAGTATTAATGAAAAAGAATATTGAATGCCCACACAATCTAACATGTTTACGGTGTGATCTATTTTTTTTTCTTTGTTTCATGTACTTTTCTATTCTTAATTTACTTTTTGTAGCTTTACTTTATTGGTCAAATTAGTATAGACTCATTGCTCCTTTTTCGATCGCATGTTAGTTGTTTTTATTGTAGTAGTGTTTGTTGTGGCATGTGGCCTAAAACAAGCTTCGATCCAAGGGAGAAGTAAATATCCCAATTGCAGCTTTCATATCATAACTTGTATTTTTCTTTACGTATGTTATCAGATATTAAAAAAAAACTTAAGTTTTATATTGATTAAAAATAAGATATAAATTAAAAGTATATAAGTAAAAGTGACTTTTACTTTAATATTCAATTTGTAAGATTGAATTAAATTTATAAAAAAAAATTTTAAAGATAAGATGTTTGATCTGTGATTTATGTATGAAGAAGATTTTTTTTATGAGACAAAAGTCACTCTTGAGCTTTCTATATTTTGAAAAAAAAATGAATACCGTTAAATTATTGATTGTAAAATAACTATTGGAGGATATTATTGGTACAAAAGAAAACAAAATTGTGTACAATTAAAGAATTATCGTTGATTGGCATGTGAGAATCTTCGATACTATGCTTAGCAGCCCATCATAATATACAGAAAAAATTAATTATATATAATTTATTTCATGAAAGCGACAACTCGTGTTATTTCGGTTCCTTTATAAACTACGAGGACGATATACACATTTAAAATTGTGGGATTAAAATTATAAAATTCTTGTTGGAGAAATTAATACACACTAGATATAGGATAAAGAAAGGAAAAAAAATTAGCGTGGCTCAAAACCATAACATAGATTCGTGCTTGCTTCTAAGAGTTGAATTTTAAGGAGAAAATGAAGACAAAAAAATTATTTCAGATAAATATTCTTTGTTTGATATTTTAAAATGAAATAAATAAAATTATATATTAATATAAACTTAATATCTGATCTTTTGTTTAAGATGAAAATATCATAATTTTACTATTTGTTTGAGAAAAAGAAATAATGTCTTTTTTGAGTCCATATATACAAATTTTCCCTCCAAAAGTGGGGATATATTTGTTGCACTTAACTTTGTTTTTTCTTTTTTACCTTTTAAAATTAAATAATCTTTATAACAAAAGGTAATAAATAATTTATATTAAAAAATGATATAGTAAAAAGTTTTTTAATTAAATTATTTTTAATGTGTATAAAAAAACATTTTTATACACTCTTTTTTCATTCAGACTTTCATCCATACAAACGAGAAAAAAATCACTTTTTTCTTCTTATTTCTATTTATTCAAATAAACATTTCTATTTTTCATATACTTCTATCTTTTTTGTTTTCCCCATTAAATTTCACTTAATCTAAACAAATTATAAAAATTTGATAAGATAAAATTGTTAATAAGTTTAATAATTAGTATCATAAAAATATCAATTAAGGGATGTTAGACGATACAATTAGTATCTTAATAATCCAAATCGTTCTTTAATTTTGTTGTGCACTGAGGGGTTACCACATATATACACATGTCTCCACATTATCTGCTTTTTGAACACTACCCAAAAAGCCTCTCAACTAATGGAGACAACTGTGTGTATATAAATCCATGTCCATCCTCTTATTTGAACAGTGTGAGACTTTACTTATATTCCAACAAATTTCGCGTGAAAAAGATGAAAAAAATGTATAAACAAACTCTCTCTTTTTCTCCTAAACATAAATCAAAGTTGACATGACTTAATTTCAAATACAGTACGAATTAAGGAATTGATAATATAACATTTTAATTAATCAAAATGACGTTAAAAATACATTAAAAATCATGATATTTTAACAAGAGTGGATTAATAATTCTTTGACCAATGTCTGCTAGATTTTGTTATTCTTTATGAATTCAAATTTTATTCCATCCCTTGAGGATTCGAGAGGCTCTTAGAGTATAACAGCAGAGGCAAGGTAGGCAACCTATTATTTTCCTTTTACACCATTGTACGTAAAGAATGACAAGATAAGGAGTCTTTTGGAACCGTAGTTGCATGAAAATACACACACTCACACTCACACACAACATGAAAGCAAAAGAATTGTGTCGTATTGGGACCTTTCTCCGTATAAAGCAAAGGTTTGCCTCCATTCCACACCAGCTAAGCCCCCCTCTCTCAGTTCGAGAAAGTGCAACATAACATAATCCCTCCAACCTATAAAGAAAACCAACCACACCCTTAATCCTTTGCAGTAAAAAAAGTCCCTTCCCTTAACTCACCCTCCCCTCTCTCCCTCTTCAATCTTCTCTTGTCTTCTTCCTAGCCAGTTTCACTTCAATCATCACGCAATCATAGCCTTTTCTGTTTTTCTTTTCTCTTCATCATCTATGTCATAGCCTTCTTCATTCCTCACATGACATAAAACACATACACATAATTACGAACAAAGACTTGCATATGGGTAGTACTAGTACTAGTAGTTGTAGTTTTTTCCTTCCAAGGTTCCTTCGACCACTAGCAGTGGTGGGGCTTGTTTGTCTTCTTGTTTTGGGAAGCTTATTAGGTAGTGGTGAAGGAACAAGACAAGCAACTACAAAATGGTCTGAAGAAAGAGTCAAGCATGAGCCAGTGGTGGGTAGAGATAAGCCTGTCAACCGTGCTGAATTGGACTTCAACTACATGAGCAAAAGAAGAGTTCCCAATGGACCAGATCCTATTCATAACAGGTTTCTCTTGCTTTTCTAAACCCAAATAAGATACACAACTTACATGCTGTGCTTTTTAATTTCGATTTATGTCACTGTTCATTACTTAATTTGATGTATATTACGTTTCTTCAACGTTTTCTGCCACCAGACATGCATTACTTTTAATAACAAGCCATAGTACGTATATATGTACTAAGTTTAGTATATGATCATATTATTATCGTTGGAAATTCAAGTGTGAAAGAAAAAGGAAAAGTAAGGAGTAAGGGCCATATAAATATATATTTTCTTTTTGCTGTAACCATATATTTATGTGTGTGTAAATGATTGGAGTCCTTTTGACTCCCCTGTTCTTATCATGGATATGAGATCACCCTGTTACTTTGCTAATTATTATCTTTTCCCCAATTCAGTCTAAAATCTGCATGGATTATTTTCAAATATAGTACTATATTACTATTAACGTGTTTGGTTTCGCATCCTACATGTGTTTTTTCACGTTTAGTAAGAAGCTAATAGTTAGAGCTTTCACATCCAAACAAGTTATGTCTAGAGATATATGGTCATCAATTTCAAATTTAGTAGTTCTTGCCAAAATGAAGCTTAAGAAAAAAGGATGCAAACCCAACTGTGGGGGGTTGATTACCACGCTTTTAACTGTTACATTGAAATTTTGATTAAAATTCTCTCAACATGGATACTTCTTTATAATAGATTAATACATAAAGCCATAAAAGAAAGATAAAGTATATATAGCTAACAACTTTATTCCACTGCTTAATTAATCATGAGCAACTAAAGTTATTCATGTCATTCGGTTCTCTCTGCATGAAGAAGCTTTTAACCTTTTCTTTGTTGTCTTTCTTTATTTCTTTTAGCACAAGACACAAGCATGCATGGGGTGAGACTGAGACTTGCTATGAATTATGAAACTATGTCATGAATGTTGTTTGCTTGTCCATGCATTTCTACTAGAAATTGTATTGGTTTGCATCAAATACTATTCAGCTAAGGTCTAAGGATTATTTTGATTAAAATATTGTTTGATAATTGTGTTCAGGAGAGCTGGAAATTCTGGGCGACCTCCTGGCCAAGCTTAGTAACAAGGGAGATAGACAAGCTTCAGCAACCATGCAGAAGATGACACAATATGTTAGCCATTTACTTGTGAGAACTGAGAGTAACTTCATACATATATCCTTGACCCTGAGCTTCTTAGAATTCTAGCTTGCAAGCAAGGGCTAATCTCTAACTTGCGGTAATTAATTTGTTATGGGAAGAGTTATTGTGGCCTAAAGAGGGGGGGAAAGAAAAGTAAGGAAGCTTGTCCCACAGAAAATAACCTCAAAAGATAGTTTGATCAGTTTCTACTGAAACTGCAATTTAGAGCCAGCTTGAATACAACTCAGAAGCATTTTTTAAGAGTTTCTCTATTGAAAAAAAGAATTCAGTAAAAAAAACTCTTAAAAATTCTTTTAAGCTTGTATCCAAACATGTGATTAGTTAGTGTTTTTTGTTTTTGAACTTGTGATATGAGAGGATGGGGGGGCAGTGTCACAAATTTCAATGGAATGGAGATCAGTGCTTGCATGTAAAGCAATTAACGTACCTTTAAAGTTTAAAAGCCAGAAAGATGTTGTAGCAACAACAGCAGCCATGCATGCTTTTGGAGGGACTATACTTGTATGTTAGGGAAAAAAAAAAAAAAAAAGAGTCTTGGCTTTGGTTTGCTCACTACTAAGTTTGGGATTTCAGTTTTTTGTTTTTATTATTATTTATTGTAAAGATTAGCCATGAGTTCCTAAAGTAAAAGTAAATTCCACCATTTAAAGGTGTTGGCGCACCTGTAAAAGAAGGGTGTTTGCATCTTGTGTTAGTCTTTTTCACTAGATTCTTTGGTGGGGGGTGGTGAAACTGATTGGTCTTCGGTCCATTCAAACATTTTAAACTGTATTAGATTCCTATTATCTCGTGGCAATCAGAAGAGATAACAAAAAAGAATAGGATTATAAAATGAAGATGAAAAAAAGAGGAAACAAACAAACAAACGGTCTTCAATGTTTTAAAGTGAAAATTAAAGGATGCCCTGAACTCGAGCATTATTTTTTATGATGAACTGCTTTTTCTCCTGTTGTTTTGTTTTGATTGGATTGAGAAGCAAAGAATGTGTGCAAAGCAAGTGAGATTCAAATTGGGACATTTACCAAAAAGGGAAAAAAGGATAAATAATTTTGAACTCGTGCTTTCTTCATGAGATTTAATATGGGTCACAGACTAAACAGCTACTTGCATTAGTACCCCACCATTTTTCTTTAGGTATTCATAGGAAAATATGTACAAAAAAAGCATAGCTTATGTAATGCTCATAGTCCCAAGAAAGGTTTACTTTATGAATTTGGATGTCCCTCTTCGCGTTACGGTCATGACCCCTGTTACAAACAAGACCAGTAACTCATTGTTTCAAAGTGAGGATTATTTATTTATTTATTTATTTTAGTAGAAACTATAGATATTCTTCATGGGAACAATGTTATTTGAGTAAGGTAGTATCATGTAGAGTTGTAGACCACATGTAAAAATATAGACAGCAAATTTAACCCAACTACAAAGCGAAGATTATAGAATTTTTTCATATTTTATGCTTATTTCATTCTTGTTTCTATCTTTCTCTTCTCTTCTGAAAAAAAAAATGCCTCAATGTGGCTTTGTAATCCAATTCATTTAGTCGATGGTAGATAAAATGTAATCAAGAAAGTGAAAGACTGATTTCTCAATTAAAATAACAAGGTTTAAATATGTTGTTAGATTTAAAATAAAATTAATTTTTTGTCGTTAAATTTAAATTTAATATTTTTAATTTGAAAAAAAAAACTCTTAAATTCACCTATTATTTTATTAATAAAAATATTATATTAAATTTAGTTGATGTTACATAATTGATTTAATTTTTTCTTATTAGTAATTTCCTTTTTTATATATATAGAAAATGAATATATTTGTTAATAATATTGCATGTAGTCTTCAAAATTAAAGTAAACTTCTTTGGGTTAACCTAGTAGTTGGGTGGGGATGGGTTGGGGTAGTTAGAAGCATGAGGACCTAGGTTTAATCCTCATCGCGACCATCTTTGTAATTTTTCCTATCTTTACAAAAAAAAAAAGTAAAATTCTTTGCGTTACCATCGTAGTTGGGTGGGGATGGGTTGGGGTAGTTAGAAGCATGAGGACCTAGGTTTAATCCTCATCGCGACCATCTTTGTAATTTTTCCTATCTTTACAAAAAAAAAAAGTAAACTTCTTTGAATTGAGAGTAAAATTGAATAAATTTAAGACTAAAAATAATCTTATTTTAAATTTGAGTGATTAAAAATATATTTAAATAATTTTTATTTTATTTTTTAGCTTTCAGTTTAAAAGTTATTTTTGAGAAAAGTAACCGAAGATTTTGGTGTACCTAAGTTATATTTAACAAAATTAATCAATAATATAAGTTATGATACAAATGTAGCTGTATATGCATATCAATATCTGGTACAAGTTCAACAAGATACGATACTAATGTTTCTTTATTTGGACGTCTATTTATTAACATATTTTTTTTTTATTAAAATATGAATTAGATGCATGACTAGATATGTTTTTGACGGCAACTCCTTAAAGATCTTGAACTAGATCTACGACGGAAGCTACTCTAAGTCTCCTGATCTTTCTTTAAGCTCTTCCTTCGACCAATTTGAATGGAGAATGCCTTGAGAAGGTGTTGGACCCCTGGAGTAAGCCAAGGACTTAATTGATTGCTCACAAAGATTGGTGAACCTAGAGGAGAAATTTCCAAAATTCCTAAAGTTCTAAGTTCAAAGTGACCCTAAGTTGAGAGAGAATTTGCAAAAATACGGAATGTTTTGTATATACAACTCAAAGTAATCACAAATGAAAGAGAAGAGCTTGATTTAAAGGCCAAGGGAAGAATGAATGTGGAGTCACAAAGTAACTAAGTGCATTGGCGCCAAAATTTGAATTCAAATTTTGGTTTGCCAATGACATCACCATGTACAACCACGAAATTAGATTGCATTTAAGTTGTATTTGGATGTTATTTGGTGCGGCTCAAGTGTAGTCCACCTTAGGCTAGCACATGTATACTAAATGCATTATAAATTAAATCTAAATATGATCTAATTTTAACTAATTTGTCTATTAACCTTTTTTCCTCAAAACCTAATCTAATGGCCGACATATCCTAAATATCAGGAAATAATAAAAGAAACAAAACAAACTTAATATTAGGCATCAAAAGACCTAAGGCCCATTAAGCCCAAAATAGGCCCAATATGACTTATTATCCAAAAACCCTATTCTACTAAGCCCAAAATACAAGGCTAAAAATATGACACCTAATATATGATAAGAAACTATATACAAACATATGTATGGGAGGTATTGGGCTTTTAATTGGTGACCCATAGTTCAAGATAAGTCAAGGCCCACTAGCCTAAAAATAGGTTCAATCCTCCTAGGGTCTTCATGACTAGTCAATTCTTCTTGAGTCCTTCAATGTGTCACTTATTGTTCTCCTTGGCATGATTCCATTAGTTTTCTTCTCGACTCCCAATTTTAACAAGTGATATAATTTGAGCTTTGTAAAGCACCATGTGTTTATATATTTATTTAGGTTCATGATATATACATTTTTTTTATAAGTATACTTTATTTTCTTAAATAAACTTCTAAAATATTTTTACTTTTTTTATTCTTTATTTTTTAAAATTTTACATTTCTAACATTTAATTTAATATTTTTTTCTTTTCTACACATTTTCTTCCCTCTCCTTTCAATTTTCGTATGCACTTCCTTGCTCTTCTCCTTTCAATTTTCACAATGTTACTCTCTCTCTCCTCTTTTAGTTTTTACATGAACTCGATACATAGAACTAGTACCCAACGACATTGCAAACACATGTAGCTTCCTTGATAGTATCGAAGGTGCCGAACCATAGACGCATTTTTTCTTTCAAACACATTTTCTCCTTCCACACTTCTAGAAGTCATAACATTAAATTTAGTGTTTTGAAAATTATTCCATGGAAAATTGGTTTTATTGCTTTGAAAAGTACTTAATTTTTAGAATAGAGAAATTAGTGTTTCAAAAAACACTTCCCTAAACACTAAATTTATTGCTCCAGAAAGAACTTTCTAAAATTATGTAAAGCAACACATTAGTGTTTGAGAAAAAAAAACTTTTCAAAAATATGTAAAACAACACACTTCCAAAAAATACCTTTTGAAACACTAATAACACTAAATTTATTATTCTAAAAATTGTTTTATAGAAGTGTGTTATTTTATATAATTTTAAAAAACTATTTTTTAAATAGTAAATTTAATGTTACGAAAAGTACTTTCAGATGTATATAAAAAACACAATTATGAAAAATACTTTTTGAAATACTAAACTAATGTTTCGTTAAATATTTTTCGACATACTAAATTTAACGCTATGGTTTTCAAAAGTGTGAAAGGAGAGAAAGTGTTAAAAAATGTGTGACTGGTTTGACACCTTTAATACTGTCGAGAAAGTCACATGCACTTACAACAACATTGCACATCAATTTTATATCTCGAGTGCATGTGAAAACTAAAGGGAGGGAAAGGGTAATAATGTGAAAAATGAAAGAGGATGGGAAAGATAATAATGTAAAAACCAAAAGAATTAAAACTACCTATAAATAGGTAGATAATGGGGATAAGGTAAGGGGTGTTTGTAAAAACTAAAAGGAAAAAAGAATGAGGTGTGTGAAAAAGAATGAGCAAGTACTAAATTAGACATCAAAGGTGTAAAATTAAAAAATTAAAGATATGGGCTAGCACAAGCTTAGAAACAATGGTTAACACAAATTAGATTGATTTCATAGGTTTTGTAACTTAAACAAGGAAGTATTGTACTATGTCAAGGTAGAATAGTTTGGCTATGAGCCTTCCATGACATTAGTCTACAACACTAAGTCACCTATGAAATTAGTCGACTGACTACCCTCCAAATACCATAATCCTCCGATACTAGATTATGGATGTCGCCACCCGCCGAAACGGACCTTGGCAATCGCGACGATGGTCGGACTCTTATTAATGTTTTGAAAAGTGGTGGATTGCTAGAACGACTTATTCTCAAACTGAGACCTTGTCGAGCTAACAATTTTATTAAATGATTCACCAATCCATGTTAATCCCAAGCGGGACCCTCCATGAATTAGTGGTTTTCGCAAAAGGTAGGGTTCTTGGAGTCGCCACCAATGTTTTACTCAAAACATTGGAAAAAG